TGGTATTTGCAATGAATTGGCAATGCGTAGAAAATTGCAAGTGCTGACAGTCAGGCGTTTTTTCTGTGTTTTCATTGTATATACTATAGTGTGAACACTTAATGTTTTGTCAGGAGCTTGCATCTATATATATATATATACAAATATACCCGAGAGGCCGCATCAACGTAGCAGCAACGTAACATGAACATGACGCTACCATGCCCCACCCCACCCCACCCCTCCCATGAACGTAGCAGCAACGTAACATGACGCTACCATGCCCCACCCACCCCACCCCTCCCATGAACGTAGCAGCAACGTAACATGACGCTACCATGCCCCACCCACCCACCCCTCCATGAACGTAGCAGCAACGTAACATGACGCTACCATGCCCCACCCCACCCCACCCCTCCCATGAACGTAGCAGCAACGTAACATGACGCTACCATGCCCCACCCCACCCCACCCCTCCCATGAACGTAGCAGCAACGTAACATGACGCTACCATGCCCCACCCCACCCCCCCCCTCCCATGAACGTAGCAGCAACGTAACATGACGCTACCATGCCCCACCCCACCCCACCCCTCCCATGAACGTAGCAGCAACGTAACATGACGCTACCATGCCCCACCCCACCCCACCCCTCCCATGAACGTAGCAGCAACGTAACATGACGCTACCATGCCCCACCCCACCCCACCCCTCCCATGAACGTAGCAGCAACGTAACATGACGCTACCATGCCCCACCCCACCCCACCCTCCCCAGCCTCGCATGACCCCAGCAACCATCACCCACCCCACCCCACCCCACCCCTCCCATGAACGTAGCAGCACGTAACATGACGCTACCATGCCCCACCCCACCCCCCCCCTCCCATGAACGTAGCAGCAACGTAACATGACGCTACCATGCCCCACCCCACCCCACCCCTCCCATGAACGTAGCAGCAACGTAACATGACGCTACCATGCCCCACCCCACCCCCCCCCTCCCATGAACGTAGCAGCAACGTAACATGACGCTACCATGCCCCACCCCACCCCACCCCTCCCATGAACGTAGCAGCAACGTAACATGACGCTACCATGCCCCACCCCACCCCACCCCTCCCATGAACGTAGCAGCAACGTAACATGACGCTACCATGCCCCACCCCACCCCACCCAACCCCACCGCTTCTCCATCGGAGAACCTGGGGCCCCTCGGGTATATATATATATATACACATTTCTAAACCATAACAATGGGGATGGCCATTTACCAACCAGTATTATGGGATGGGATAGAGGTATTTCTCCATATTGATTGGGGTAGATCATCGTCCTTGTTGAGCATACTGGTACTTGTAGGTGGGGTAGATTTCTATTCTCTATTTGGCATCACGGTCACGATCCCCCAATAGCCGGTATGTAAAGCCACAAGAATTCATCATACCATCGTTCTTTGCTTTCTTTTTTGTGAGTGTCCACGCATTCCAATCCTACCTCAATGATTTTGCTTGAACTTCGAGAGGAGGGGGATGTCATGTAGTCTGCCACTCAGTTCGCAGTGTGGAAGCAATGCATTAAGCCGACCTTGACGCCAGAAAGAGCGGAGAGCTGAGCTGTAAGTTCAGTTCAGATAGAACTCCTTTCTTCCCAGTTGAAGGGTAGTGCGCGGATCAAGTAAAACTGTGTCGCGAATGTCCCTCCGACACCAAAGGTGTTAATGCTGACTTGGCAGACTCTTCGAAGAGGCAAGATCTCTGAGGTGCGCATGGCGAAGCGATACGCTAAACGACCTTCAAACGTGGTAAAGGCTGTGTCAACAAATCAAATTTTCTGGTGCCACAAGATTGTATCCTTCCCAAAGTTCAGAACAGGATTGAGATTTTGCAAGTCCCAGGGGGATCAACCAAAGTCCAGTATGGTCGTGCCACAAATCTCTCATAATCCTCACCGAAACATCCACCAATTCCCATGCGCGGGAGGAGAGTCTTCCAGTGGGACCCGATTTGGCCAAAGAAGCTGATGCACAGAGGCGTAGGCGATGGCATGCGATGGCATCGGTCGTAGCATTGCGTTAATGTGCGGCCTAACTTCATTCGGTTTCACTATCAAGGACAACGTCAAAACATCAGCAGACTCTGAGTTTGCATACATAATCATGCATCATCATGCATCGTACATGCAGAACATTCATTTAAGTTCATTTCCTTGATGATGGAAACGAAGGCAGGGGTGTTCTGATGGGAAAGATCACGTTTGTGATGTAACGTACATTGGGAATGGAAGAGACCAGGAGTGGAAACAGGACAAGAGCCCCAAACTCCTCGCACAATTGCAGGGCGGTACTTTGTCCTCGACTGGCCTCCTTGCCGCTAGACCAGCCAGACTCTCACGGTCAACAGTTGCCAGGAACACACAATATTAGACAAGACTCTGTCTCAGTTCCCAGCAGGGCGTATTTTGATTTTGGACTGAAATGGGTATGTCTAAAAATTGGGTACCCCAAAACTTCATCTCATAATTTTTCCTTTTTCAGAAATTCCCAATTTTGGGGGTATCCAAAATTTTGATACAAACCCCCAAATCTGATTGTTGTATATATTCCCATTATATTTCCATTAACATCATATTATAGTATCTGATTGTATCATATTATATCACCAGGTATATACCGTTATATTATGTTATATTCACATCAACATCATGTATGATGGTACAAAAGAATATCAACATAAATGCAAATGTGGCTCGCATGCGTGGCACCCTCTTTTGAGTATGACCGAGGTTATTGCATGCTGTCCTCTGCAAGGTGCACGGTCTGGGAACCCGACAGGGTTGGCTCCAATCCATCATAGGTAGAGGATAGCCACAAGGATGGGAAAGTGGTCATTTTGGCTGTACCGGGGGTGTTGGGAGCAACCCTGATTGAATTGGTCAAAGCCACTAGGGCTATTTGCAAATATTTGCAACCTGATTTACTTCTAACCGCTACGAACCATGACTGCAATAAAGATTGAAAACAAGGTGGGCCTCTCCTTTGGCGGCCCCAACGGGAGCGAGACTTTTGAGTTTATTTATTGTTTTTTTTTGGCGTAGCATAGCATAGTACACAGATGTATAAATTTATATGTGCAAGAACCAGAACAAGCTTTTACAGTGTACAGCATAGCAAAATGCGTGTGTGCGCAGGTACCAAGAAAATGTTGGTAGCGTAGTATAAAGTATATATGCACGTACAGGAAGAAATGTTGGTAGCGTAGCATGAAGTATGTGCGCCGGTACAAGAGAAACTGTTGGCAGCGTAGCATAAAGTATGTGTGCAAGTTCAAAAGAAATTGTTGGTAGCGTCGCATGAAGTATGTGTGCAATTGTGTGCAAGTGAACAAGCACATTTGAGTTGCATAGTACGAAATATATTTGCAAGTCCTTTTTTTTTTCAGTAGTGCAGTATCATTTATGTGTGCAAGTGGAACAGAATGTCAGCACTCCCCCCAACCCCAACCCACCTCAAGTCTCCAACGTAGTACCATTTGTTTTTGGAAATACAAAAGGAAGTTAACTAATACCCAAAAACCTAACCCCAGCGCAAGTCTGCAGGGTAGCATCTAGATGGGAGCTGCAAAAGGGGAGGCCCACCAAAACGAACTTCCCAGCTACCAGCTCACCTGCACAGTAGCAGGCAAGGTCAGACATTCCTGATCGAGAAATATGTGGGAACAGCTACTCGAAAACCTAGCAAAATGGACTTCACCAATACATAGTCATCAAATTCAGGAGTTGACCAGCACTCATGCCCAAAACATCGCTGGCACCGGAATAGAATCATCCAATAAACGTATCTAGCCCACAAAGCCTTGGGCCAAAGGGAAAATTGTTGGATGTCCATGAAAAAAGTGCAACCATGTCCCTATGACCTGTAGTCATGTCATGGAGCAGGGTTGACATAATACCAATAAGCCGGTCCCCGAAAACCCGAACCCGCAGCAAATTGTGTCCACATGGTTCAACATTGTTTCACAAATTCAAAGCCAAATAACCTTCAGGATTTCCAGTTTGATGCAACGGTGATTGCAGGACTCGCCTGTGGCGTCGCCACAGAAACGGGCCGCTGCCTCATTCTTGATCTTCTCGCAGCGCATTGGGAGTAGGATAGTATGATGTAGCATGGTCATTTGAAACCGAAAAGGGCCACACCATATCAATCCATATCATATACTGGTTTGGTATGGGTTTGTACAATGTTAGTACAGGTCAGTACATATCTTGAGATGACAGTATCATTCCATTTCAATGAACGGTGCTTTGACCGAGGTAGTGGAGCAAAGATTGCAGCACTGAGAGGAAAAGGGCTTAAGCGGCTTGATGTTTTTCGAGGGTTGGTGACTGCCCCCCCGCATCGATTCTGACCGGGTGGAGTCTTGAAGGATGGCGGATCTCAAGTCTTGGGGCTTAAACAATTGCAATGGTCACGATCAGCCCACACGAAAAAGTGCCAAAACATAGGCGCTTTGCATTGAACAACTCAAAGGTGACATGTAGTGACATCATGTCTTTCCCTTCCATGCCGTTGGGCGCATCATAGACTGCTGGCCCTCGCCCCGGCAGCTATTCCAAATAAAGCCGCATATGGTTTAAGGAGGGGTGACCCCAAGATGCAATAATGCGTCTTGAACTTCAGCCTTCGGTTCTTCAATTGGACTGCAGTTGCAGTTGCACCTTGAAACTGATGAGAATAAGCAAGGCTTTGAGTAGGCGATTGTCGTTCCCCCAAGTCGCTTCCTCCACTGTCCCTACAATATCCACATGTATGCTCAAAACGTGGGCAAACTTCCCTGTTTGGGGGGATGGTCATGAATCCATCAATAGGGAAACTATGGGAACACTATATCCATCATAAGGATTCCCAGTTGGTGACAATGACCATTGCCATCATTGCCCATATACCATGTTTCGACCATAACACATCCTTTCAAAGGTCAGGTCAAATGGCCACGACTCACCATCTTTGGATCAAGCTGTGGAGCTTCTACACGGGCTGTGGTTGAGCCGTTGTTTGAAAATTCCATCCGATGCAGGCAGGGTACACAAATGTACACAAGGCAACTTCAGGGAGTTGCATGGGAGGCAGCTTGAATCCATGGATATCCATAGTATGAAATGCTGTGACAGGAGAGTCTCCACATGTCTACAGTCTTTTCAGAACAAACATGGACTTGGTATGACTTGGTTGATAGATTAGTTCTACCAGAAAGACCTCCCATTGTGACTGGGGTTGTCTCAAAACATGGAACTCCCAAATCCCATGCTGAAGAACATCAGTTCCCACTTCGCAAGGCGGTCTGAAGGGTTATCTCTATTCCCTATAGGCCCTATGTATATGGCCATAGTATGCCATAATCAAAGGGGTTGTATCCCAACCTATGGGGCGTTATAGGCATGGATTGGCATGGATCCCTGTAGAAATCAGCCAAGTGCAGCCCCAAATAGCCCCAAATTCACGTCACGAGGTGATGCTTTGGCTGTTGACTGTCGCGACTCACGTGGTCTTGCTGGCAGCAAGGCGAACCTCTCAGGCCCCTGGGTCCAGAACTGGGGAGAAATCACCCAAACATAACAAATCTTCAAAAACTGGGCAGCATGATGAGATTTTTGTTGATTTTCGATTCCCTGAAAATCATCATTAGTACATCATGAATCATTTTGATTCATTTTGCTATTTCAGAAGATTCAACCAATCAAAAAACATCAAAAAACAGTAAGACAAGAAGCTGCCGCATGCTCCGAGCCCCGATTTCCATGGGCCCAAAGGGCCCCGATTTCGAGGCTGATGTTATGGAGACAGACATCCTGGATACAGACCAGGCCAGCAAAAAGTTTGGATGATTGTTGATTTCCATGGGTCATTAAATGTCCCCATTGAACATCACCCAACCATTAGGTATATGGTCTATAATGGCTACTATAAGGTGATGTCCAATATTCCCAAAATGGAACAGTTACCAACCCCTGATTTCCAGCGATGTTTTGCAGTGGTTTGGTGGTGGTTTGAAACCTTGATGTCTCAACATTTCATTGAACACAGCAATGGATACAACGATGTCGTTTGGCACTACATATTTGAGCAGATCCTACTGGTTGCTGATGCTGTTTAAATTGGATCATGCCGGAGCTCATTTGGCGCAGTTTTATTGGTGTGCCGATGGGCATGCTGTCAACAGGAATGGAGAGTAATCAGCTATTGAGGGAGAAGCAACTTAATTTATAGTGATCAGTGTTTCATCGCCAAACCTCATTTGGGTCCTTCTCCTCTGGCGGGCTCACTACACTTTTTGAAGTGAGCTGATCCTCTGTTTGGTCAATGTTTCCCACGAAAGTGAGCCACACTTCGGGAGGCCTGTTGCTGCAAGGAGGCACTTTGTGATGTGAACGCCCTTCGGACCTGAGCAAATGAGCTGTTGCCTTTCCAGAATGTCGATGGAAATTGAAGATCAAAGGGTAGTCCGGGTTTGTTATAGGTTATAGTCATGGTGCACTAAGGTAATTTCATGTAATTTCAGTAACAAATGTGACAGAAACCTAAGTGAAGGTATTTCGAGAATGAACGTGTATAATATATATATATATATAATCCATATATACATACAGTATACATGAATGCACAGCCTAGCATGTGGAAGGGCTTGTTGCTCCCAGAGTCAAAGATGTCTCCCAGGACACGGAAGAGATCTACTCACCCAACCAGGGTATTTGCTGCAAGCCCTTGCCTCAATTCCAGGCTTTTTTAAGTTTTTCCAGCTATTGCGTATGCCTGTCATTGCCTGTCTCATGTGAGACAATTGATATCCATTGTGATACATCCATTAACATCCATTATTAACATCCATTAACATCAATTGTGATACATCGTATCAATTGATCATGGTTTGGAGATGTTCTCACGCACGAAAAAAAAAAACAGGATCCCGAGACTAACCTTGCACGTGGCGAGGTTCAAGAGCAGGAAATGCGGCCACATCTTCTCGTTCTCAAAGTTTGATGCTAAAGCTCCGGACCAAAGTCGTTAGCTTAGGCTTAGACCATCCACTTGTCATCTCAAGATATGGGTATGGATCAATACCTATTAATACCATTTTAATGGGATGAACATCCATTTACCAGCTATTTTGATGTGAACTACAGGGGTACAAGGTTTTGACACACTGCCATATCCCAAGGCAGTCAATGATGTCAATGGCAGCATCCACTCTTCTGTGACCCACCTTGCAGTATCTTGCGGTTTATTTTTGGGCGCCACCCGATTTCAGCACCCAAGGTTTTTGTCAAAAAGCTCATCACGTCGAATACCAGATTCCACCGCGGTCTCCGCAGGCGACTGGTTGGAACAACATCTATTGGGATTTCTGTGTATGGCATTTTTTTTGGTTGGAGGTTTATTATACTATAATATGTATAGAAATGTATAGAATATCAATTGTGCTCCTTCCAAGTGACTCACGCATCACGCGACTCGCCAAGCCGCCAGATCAGATTTGTTTCCAGCATTTCTCCCGAGGGCCAGGTGATTGCAACCAGTGATCTCAAGCCTGGCCATCCCGCGCACACGGCGAATCGGCCCTGTTTTGGATGCTACCGTGGTACCGTGGTACCCACCCTGGCTGGGGGGCTGTGTGGAAAACACTTCCCTAGATCCACCCAGGTCCTCGATACTTGACAGGTGCAGAACTACTGCGACCTCAGCAGCCACGAGGAGGTTTGGTGGGATATTTTTTGATTCCGAAAGATTTTTATGGTGGGATAGATTGAGAAACACCAGGAAATACGTCACAATGAAAGCAGAAATGAGTCTTGCAGATAATACTCGTAACTCGTACCTTCCAGGAATTGTTCCCTCATCAAGCGCAGCTTCCCGCTTGCCGCAGGCGGTGGGCGATGAAGCCTCAGTGGCGGATGAGGAGAAGACTGTGGGCTCCAGGAAGGGTTTGATGCAGAGCATGGTGAATGAAATCACCAGCAATTCCATCGTCCGAAACTCAGATGACCGTAGATGAGCAAGCTATACCAAGCTTAGCCATGCGCCATGTTAGCGATGTTGGCTTGCTGGGTCCGGAGTGAATATTGTATGATGCTATTTGTTGTGCACTATTTGATATGATATATCTCAAATTCAAATTTGGAACTCTAGATGAATGATGACGCATATGCATTGACATGCTAGGAATGTAGGAATATTTCAGGTTGTAATATGTTGTAATTTTGACTTGTAACATTGCGTAAATGCATAATATTTCTTGTTGTTGCGATTGCTCCTACTTTACTTGCTGTCCCCAGTTGACGCTTTTGTGGTGCCTTAGGACGTCATGGCAAAGGAGATATTCTCCATCTATGTTTGCACACGTTGGGCTCCCGATTCTGAGTTTCTGCAGATTTTGCAGAATGAGATCTCCACTGAGCAATTGCCCAACATGGAACCAGGGAAGCTCTACAGCACGGGACGTTTCATCCCACTGAGATGCAGCGAGAATTTCCAGGTCTTTAGTCATGTGGCCTTGGGTGAAACCAGTTTCGAGAACTTCGAGCAGCAGATGAAATCATTGGCAGAGTGGTATGCAGCTGAAAAGGAGCGGGGTTGTGCAAAAAGCATTAAAAGCAAACTAGAACCTACTAGAACCTGCTGTTTTCATGTGTTTTTGGGGTATCCAAAGTGCTTGTAGACCGTTGACTGAACTCGTCCTTTGGTGTTTCTGGCTGCTCACACAGTGTTGGCAAGGACGGAGCCGTTTCAGACAGACTGGCAAAACTCACAGGCAGGCGAACAACTGGCAAGTTCCAAGGAAATTATCATCCAGACCCGCTTGTCGATGGAACTTGATGCTTTAACTTAGGAATTGGGGGCTGTTTTATGCTGTTTTATTCAGATTTTCTATTGCTTAAAATCTCTTCCTTAAGGGTACTGCTCATCACTCGACAGTACAAAACCCTTTGATTCTATGCGATTGCATCGGCTCAAAATGGGTCCACAAATGTCCCCGTCACTCCGGTGCGCTTCATTCCATGTCATTCCTCACCTTTTGGAGTTTGGTATGACATCCCCCCTGTACACCACCAAAGAAGGTCTGAAGGAAGCAAAAGCTTTCGACCTTGAAGCAGTTGTGACTCTTGGCTCAGTTTGCGTGTTGCATTGTTGTGGTGACATGTGGTGACAGACAAACGGAAGGATTAGCACTGGCGAATCTGCTGCATCGTCAAATCATCATGGGGAAACAAGTACGTATTCATTGAGCTTTGGGTCTGATACACTTCCTTGATGTTGGGCTGAGCGCCGGGGGTGTTGCCGGTACCTGCAGCTAGGCAGTCCCACGCAAAATCATTACAGTAATCACAATCTGAACATATCTGAACATATCTGAACTATATAGTTCCTTTTAGATTAGATGTGGATGAAAGGGTGGATGTCTTGAAGATCAACCAGCTGCGATCCCAGGAATGCGACAAAGACATGCACTGATAAGACTGGCTGGAGCGTCAGTATACATTCAGCCCCTTGGCTAGCGGCTAGCAACGAGGATAGCCTGTATTGTACGGCCGAAGTGGATAGTGCTGAACATCTTGAAATCTACGCCTTGAATCCGCAGCTGGTTGTTGTAAAAAGCTTTGGGGAAAAGTTTGAGGAAAAACCTCAGATTTCGCCTGCGCCTTCAGGCAAGCGTGGCTGGACTTTTCGCCAACTGCCAAGCTGTGAAGTGGTGGTTGGCAAAGCTGCGTGACTGGCATCGTGCGGCATCCCAGAACTTGAAGCAACCAATGGTATCTGAGCGATGTCAAATTCCAGTCTCCCAATGTCACAAGGGCTACAAGGGCACTTTGGATTGCAAGTTCGCTTGATGTAAACTGGCATCCCCAGTAGAAACCATCACTAAAAAGCTGCAGTGATATGTGCTATTTCCCTTTCAGCCCACGCGGGCATCTACTGGAACTTTGTAGGCATTTGGCTATTTGATGGCTATTCCGTATACCATTTGCCGCGTTTGCCCCTCATTTTCAAACGAGCAAACACACTTGACGTTTGGTCAATCGTCAACCGAGCAGCAGGTGCTATGCCTTTTACCAGTTTCATGTCTCCTGACGAGGATGCTGCCAAGGTAGCTCCCAAAGAGAAGGTGGGCCAGAATGGGCCAGATGTGGGGAAGCAGCAGGCTGATGATTCTTTCACTATGATTCCTACATATTCCTACCGATACTTATATATCTTTGTTGGATTGAATTGCTCGTTTGAGATCTTGGAATATGTTGGAAATTGTTGGAATATCATTTCTTTGTCTGATGAGTTGGTCTGACTTGGATGGCTTTGTAGAGCAAGCAGGCCAGCAGTTGTGGGTCTGTGGGTCTTACACTTTCAAACATTTTGAACCATCTATATATAGTATATATCATTATATATCCATTATCCATTATTATATTCAAAGGAGATACAAAGTCCGCACATGGACAAGTCACAATTTCCACTGGTGGATAGTAATGTCAGTTCCAATTATCATCTTCGCAGCTTGCATCTTGAAATTTGCATGCCATATATCCCAATTGTGAGTAGGTGATCCCAGTTTGCGAGCTGCAACAGGAGCAGATTCTCATGTGTTTCGGGAAGCGTGTGGCTTCACAGCTACACCGCCGGGAAGGTGCGGTGTTGATGTTGGAGCCCATGGGTTTTGCTGGGAGTTTGGCCAACAAGAACCGGCAAGAAAATGAACGAGGATACATAACCGCAAGTTGACACATGGGCGTGTCTGAAAATGTGGTGTAACATGGTATAACCCCAGATCTTGAAGACACCTATTCACCTGAACACTGTACTGTAGCGGATCTTAACATGCCCAAATGTGCCTTTGGACAGTCCCAGGTGGGCAGCACCTTATGACAGATCAGAATGCCATCGGATGCCACGGTGCTTCCCTCAGCTTCGGGTGTGTTGTTGATGGCCAATGCCTCGATTTCTGGGGACGGGGTGATCTCAGTAACCATTCACTTGACTGAGAGAATCAATCTCATTCGCAGCCTCTTCAATCAATGGATTGGTTTATATTGGTTTATATTGGTTTATATAAGGGAACATTGGCAGGAAGCCATGTTTTTTCCCATGAAACATGGAAGTTGCAGCTGCTGTTCCCTCCTTTTTTCGGACATCGATCATCCCGAGGATGTCCCAGGATGTGACGGTCTCAAGAGGAAACCACTGATTTTCCCTTTGCCAAAAGACAAAGATCTGCTTTGCTTTCAACCGTCAATTTCCCACCAATATATATATATATAATTCAATATACTCTAATTCAATTTGGGTCATAAAGATCATAAAGCCCAAACAAACTCAACTACATCTCACCATTTGCCCCATTCACAAATTGCCATTTGGGATATTTGCGGGGTTAACCCAAATCTCATTTTTTTTTAAAAACCATTTCAGATCCTTAGGTTTTTTTTAACCGGGGATCAGCCAGCCGCCACGAGGATTTTGGGACATGAAGCAAGCTGGGAGCATGTTGGCCCGGATCGTTAAGCTTTGGCGTCCACCAACCTGCCAGCTGGCCAGCATGGAGCTGGATATGAAGGCGCAAGGGCCTGAGATATTGGAGATGTGGCCCACAAAGGAGGGGATGAGAGGCCCCAAGTTATGGCAATTTTACTGAAAAATGGTGGATTTCAATGGTTTACCCTACTTATCCCTACTTTTAATGGCAATTCTAATGGGAAACATGGTGATTAATGATCAATTTTTGGAGGTAATTACGTGTATGTTTCACGGGATGGACTTCACGAGTTTCAGATGTTTCAGGGGCGAGGAGGGCTTCGTTTTTGGAGTCTTGATGGGGGGATGATCCGTAAACTGCGATAGATATGGTACGATATGGTTAGGTATCATTCATGATGATCATTCATTTAGTATGATTAAACTTTATTAACTATTCACAGCTGAGAGTATGACCTATTATGACCTATTATGACCTATTATGAACTATTAATTCATACAGAATGTCGTAGTCATACTGCAGGACTTGGACTTTGGCACTGGATGCCCAGGTGAAGATTATGGAGCTGATGGCGAGCATGAACTCTCGCCTTTTTGATGCGCTTCCTGCCTTGCTGACTGAGGAGATTTCAGCCAACTCGGACTTCGATGGCAAGGCACTCGCAGCATCTTCTCTGGGCGTCAGCCTGATGCGGGGTATGTGGCAGGCTATCTCCAGCAGTTTCTCAGCCTTGCGCGGGCATTACACCCGTCTTGGACAGTTGCTAGGCAGCTGGCCGGCAGATATGAGGAAAACCACCTAAAAGAATTCCAAGAGCGCATTAAGTAATTATATTATTGTTATTATTATCATCAATTATTAGTATGTTTATTATATTTTCTTCTTATTCTTCTTATTTTTTTATATTATTAATAATAATAATAATTATTATTATTATTATATATATAATATGCGTATATAGCAATCTACACGTATTGTGAATCGTATACTTGCAATGTATAATGTCATTACTGGTATATACTTGGAATGTTTTTGGCCAATTTTCGTCTCACCGTTGCACATTGCCAGGCAATACTGTGGTGAAGTGGGCGGTTTGTCCCTTGAAAAACATCTCCACACCGGAAGAGGTTGAGAAGTTGGACATGGCACTGGGAACTGAAGATGATCTTGCTCGCTACTATGCAGAAATTGCCTATGCAAAGTGGACAGGCCACGAGAACCTGTTGCCCGGAGAAGAGTGTGAGGATGGACCCTTGGAAAACACCAAGGCCTGCAGCCTGGGCATCATGCAACAAGATATGCCTGAGCCTTACAAGGATGAGAAGTTCATTTGTCCAGTTAGACCGCTCCTGCCGGCAAAGCAGCAACTCGAAGTCTTGCAGAAAAAGAACCTTGGTCAACAAAAGTAGTTGAGTATTTGTGATTATTATTTGATACTCCAAACCTGCTAGTTTCTGAAAAGACAACGGTTGGGGACGATGTTGGCCTGATATTTCATTTGTTGCGTCCTTTCGAAGGAAAGGCTGGTGCCCCTTGCGCATGAATTCTGAGCAGATGAAGGGAGCCAGCTGGTTCTACCGTGGTCGCACACCACAAAAGACCCAGTATGACATGACGGAGAACTCGCCACAGAAGGACTTCCAAGCTGTTAGAGTGATGCACTTCAAGAGTGGCTTGGATTACATATCTCAGCTGGTGGACATCACCTTAGCTTTCTGGCTATCTTAGCAGTTAAGCGGGACCTCACATTTCCTCATAATCTCAAGTTCATATGTCATGAACTGTTATGTGTTTTTTTTTGGGAATAACATCACAAATGACCTGACATCAAGTTTGTCATTTAACTTTGATATCATTACACTGACTGCACATACACGTCACATGTATATACGTATGTGTATATATAATATATAACTATATAACTAATTATTGTATATACATATATATATAATTATACATATTATAGATATATACAGATCACCCAGATCAAATGCAGCAAGACTCTCTCTCTCTCTCTACCAATTGGTGCATGATAGTCGCAGATGTTTCATGATTTTCCCACAATTTCCCCATTTCCCAGAATTGGAAACCCTTTTCAGTGATGGCAAAAATCATGATTTTCCGTAGATTTTCCCACTAACTCAATCCATTGAATGTCATATTGGTTGGTTAAAAGCCCTGAAAACCCATTAAAATCCATTGAAACCCATGAAATCTCATCAACATCCCTTTAAAAACCCACTGAAAATCCCATTGAAACCCGTTGATCGCCAGGTCGACAGGACTCGGAGTTCCACCTCTGGCGGAACTTCGCCACGATCTCCCTGCAGTGCACCCACGAAGAGATGGCCGAGACGCCGCGCTGGTGCAAGGACCCGCAGGCGGGGAAGAAAACCACTGGGTGAACCACTGCAAATGGTGATATGACGGGGATATGATGGGAATATGCCATATGATTCTAACATATTCTAACCATGATTTGATGTCATTTTTAATATGTGTGAATGGTGTTCTTTACGAGGAAAGACGAGGAAATACCAGGATTTGGACAATTTGGACAATTTGGACCACAAATTGGTTTTGGATTATCTACCAATTGATTTGTCTGAAACTAAAGGGGGGACACCTACCAAATTTGATGGTCATTAATCACCATTTCTCCACAAAAACATTTTGGGGGTATGCCTATGCCCCATTTTCAGATCCACATTGAAGATACACCGTTTGAGTTGCTGGTTTCTTTTGCCGTATGCAAATATCCAAATGTCTCCGCATATTTGCTTGACACCTATATACTATCCACACATCTCCAATTCCCAGACACAATTGTGAACCTGAAGGACCGCCAAATATAGCAACTTCAATTCACAGATAGATGAACAGATGAGTAGAGATGAGTTATAATATATATAGTATATGTATAAGCAGTTTTCCCAAAAATGAATAATGTAGCAATAATGTATGATCCCCATTATATCAACAACATTATATCGCCATAAGGTGACTATTTCATGATATTACTTATTTGGTGAGTATTAATCCATTCACATACATATGATACACTTATTCAGCATAATCCCCACATATAGCCATATTGTATAGCTATTAGATCCCCATGATACTGTACGTTAGAGTCATGTTGCTCACTGTGACTTCACTGGAATGATGATGATCAACAGATAAAAAGGGGCGCACGATTTTCAGACAGACCCAGGGGATGAAAATCTATGCCCATGTATGATCCATAACTTTCATCTAAAAGTGCTATCAATCCACATCCTGTGTTATCCATCATGTAGTCTAGATTGATCTGTAGTTATGGTTATTGCATGAACATTATACTAACATGTTAACTTCAATAGAATGGGATATCAACTAACCATTAACCAATCCACATACTGTGGATGGAAGAAATCCTGCACCATCTTGGATGGCACCCTATAAATAATGGGGTAAGCCAGTAAGCCACCTATCAACTGGTGCAGGTCCACCATTCATCCAGCTCCACCAATGCCGTCCTGGATTCCATGGGCCGTGCGGGGCGTGGCACCAAACGCTTCGTTCAGCAGGGTCTGCACAAGGCCCAAGGATGGGATTCATGGGGATACCCATAAAACAGGAGATATTTTTATGGGAATCTCATGGACAATGGGAATTAATATAAACAAACATGGATATGTATTAGGCGTATATATATATGATTATATATGTGATTTTCTGACAAACATGGGATTTGTATTAGGCGAATATCACTGGGATATCAGATATCATGGATTACTGTAATGGAGAATAGTCATATTCATGGGTATATGAGCGGGGATGCCCATAATGAGACATTACACAATTGGATTTTCCACAAAGATAGGATACAAAAAATCGGCAATAGGAAATAACCAAAAGCCATTTCATGGGGTATAAATAAAACCAGTCACCACCATTTGACTGGGATCAAAATCATGGGATATCATGGGATAGATATAGATACTATATGGGCAAAATTTTGGGTGTCTGACAATTGGGTATACCCGTACACCCCCAAAATATCAGTTTTAGTGTAGACACGACGATTAAGCTGTGGATGGAATGGGTGAATGGGGTATCACATTTTCAGACTAACCCAAATCGACCTTTCGTACATTAAACGTGGATACATATGATACATAATTGATAATGATGAACATTGAGACACATCTTCAAGGATGAATCTACCATTTCATATCAATGAAGGAGTGGTGCAAGACACGAGACTCTTACCCGAACTTTGGTTTCCCCTTTAACTGGCCCTTTAACGTTTGAATAAGTTTGGTACATGTTTGATTTTGGATGGATTGATGCAATTATCTGCCAGAGTATACTGTTGATTGGAATTTTGGTCTTCCCATTTTGGATACCCTCTGGCAATTAGAATTAGCCGCTATAGCCACGGAACATCCACCATTTATAGATCATTCCATAGCGTTTTGTATGTTTATTGGAGGGTACAGTACGGTACACCCTGTACACCCTGGAATTGGATCCATTCTCATGACCTCGAAATAGGAGACCCATGGAGACCCCCATTTTCAGACACATGGCAGGCCGGTATGGCTGAGGAGCCTCATAGCAACTCGGCTGGTGGCAAGGCGTTTGGTCACTGGTTGTACAATCGGCGCAAGGGCGCAGAAGCCTGGATCAAGGTGGGGATCATGGCGAACATTTCTGAAAAGGATGCCCCATGGATTACCCACATGGATTACTCATAGATAGCCCAATTTATGGACAATTTATGCCAACTTTCATGGGGAAAATCTGGGAAAAGCATGATGAACTCTGCAATTCTGTTCTTTTTAAATGTTTTTGGGACAAGGCCACTGTGAGATTTGGACGCTTGTGTATTTTTTCTACCCCAAATTTAACCCAAGTCGTCACTAACACTGAAGCTGAAAGAGACTCCATGTTTTGGACATTGATCATCGAATAGCCATGGATAGGTTCCACATGGTTCCACCTTCCATGCCCCGAAGGACACCACGGATGCCTGGTTTGGCAAGGCCTCGGACCGCTACGACAAGCTGCGCGAGCGGTCGTTTCTGGAGATCGAGGCGGCCGAGCTGCTGCACAGCTTATCCTTCCAACGGGAGCTGGAAAGCACGGGAGCAGATTCCAAGCGTCGCCCGGAAGTGGGAAGTGGGTTGGAGTTGAAGGTTACAGGATGTTACAGGCATTTTTTCCCCCATCAAAAAAAATAAAAAAACACCGTTTGTTTCTAAAAAAAAACACCATGTGTTTCTTGAGGGAAGGGCGGGATTATCATCCAAAAATGAGTGTCCCGTCATTAGTTCTCCATCGCTATTCAACAGAGTGGGGCTCACCAGAAATTTGCAAAGGTAAGCAGCGATACGATCGCTTTGCCTCCATTGCAGCCTGCAAAACCATGGATCCAGAGATGGAATTTGAGTTAAAATACGAAGGCATCGATGATGCACTGCAAATGGCCAGGAAGGCCCACCAGAAGTTTGAGAAAAGCATCTTTGGAGGACCCAGCTTCACTGTGAAGTTGATGGGAGTGGGAATTCTGCAGATGAGCAGTTTCAAATCAGCCTGGGTGGCATTGATGGAGCTTAGATGCGTCACTTTTCCACTTTTTCCATTTTTACAAAACAATGATGTGGGTTGGAACTTCAAGCAGATTTTTTCAGCTCAATCTCTTCAAAGTTCGTGAGCCGTTTCAAGTTGTGTGATAGTACCTTTTTGATCCTTAATGATTGATAATTATTGTATCATACGTTTTCAAGTGGTGATGTTCCACTATCAAATGCACTCAATATCAGCAGGTATATAGCCTCTCCTATATATCATTTATCTAATATCCATAATGATCAGTACTGGCACTAACATTCACTAACTATCAAATATATTCAAGTACTGTCAAGTACTGCAATACTTCTGACATTGACATTCTCAGCTTTTCCAGGTGGATTTCCATACCCTGCTCCAAGCCGGAAACGAACACTGGGTGGCCACGAAGAACGCCATGCTGGGCAGCTTGGCCGGCACCATCTCGGCCCGCGGCGGTGAGAGCGTCCGGGCATCGGATCTCATGGGCTTCGAGGCCAGACACCGATACCTGGGCTCAGTGGGGTCCAGAAAATTTCTGGTGGTGTCTACCCTCTGGTAAACTAACATAACTATGGAAAATCACCATTTTTAATGGGAAAACTCGCTATAAATGGCCATTTTCAGTAGCTATGTTAGTTTACCAGAGGGTAATATTTGGGAGAGGGATGGCAACTTGGGATGCGTCCGCCAGCCTTTTAAATTGTTTTGGGACTAGCGCCACATACCCACACAATATACCTCTTTTTTCAAATATTCTCGACTTTAGAAATATTGAATTATGAAATTTAGCAGTTCTTTATTTTTTTTTAATGGTTCATCATGGTTCAGTGGATTTATCATGATTTACTAATGGTTCATTGGATTTTATCATGATTTATTAAAATGATTTGTCCCCCCAAAATTGGAATATCTGGAATTCGCATCTGGGAATTTTATGTTTTGTTGTCACCCCTGAGGCGACCTTCCACTGCGGATCGCGGAAAGAAATGCACGATTTGGAGCCAAAGGAAGCCTCGGCTGAAAAAAAGGCCACAAGCAGCTTCTCCCAGTGTGTGATTGATGGTGCAAAGAAGAACAAGGACGGGGCCTGGGGCACGGGGAGGGGAGGTTTCTGTATTTTGCAAATTTCTAAGAATCTCCGTGGAAATTTCCTAATGGATCAACCAATTTTCTCAAAATTCCCTCGGAAGTTTCTCAATTTTTCCCGCGGGAAAGTTCCCGCAAAGCTTGTTCCTGAGGAGTTACGGGAAGCTTCCCCTGCAGCGCCATACTTGAGAGATGAGGTCGGAGGTCAAAAGTCCGTTGATTTGGAAAGAGTTCAGCAGTTCCCCATGATCTTGACATATCTTGACTGGGTTTAGATGCTTCAGACAGTTTAGACCTAAGAGACTTTGAGATCATGGAGAACAATGGTAGGGGTTTGAATTTGATCCATGAGTGGTGGCTTGACACCAGCAGGTTTCTGTATCGGTTTCCCTGCAACGAGGTGGTTGTCCGAGTTGACTTCCGCAGTTTTGAAAAATGTGGTTTGCATTTGAAGCCGACAAGCAATGGAAATGAGACAAGAAACCCGGTGTACGAGACCTTCCAGAGCATCTCTGGATGTCGCAGCATTGAAAAACCAGAGAAGTCAGAGGAGTATCCACAGAGGATCAAGGATAAAGTGAACAGCAAAGGTTATCGCGGCTTATTGCTGGGGAGTGGGATGCCTGACGAGATGTTGTTTGAGATTGTGATCGATCCAGAAGACTTTCTGCAAGAAGTGCCCCTGGAATAAGCAGCTGGCAGATGGTTTCGATGTGGAAATAAACAGGGCGGCGCTTTGCTTTTTGTTGGATCAACAGCTTTTTCTAATTTCTAATGGCTATTTGATTTTGATATATTTTGATCACCAGATTTCACCAGGGCTTTTGACAATTTTTCACCCATCCCCATGTGTTTTTTGGGCAGTCCCAGCAGCAGAATCCAACCACCGATCCCGACTCTTGGCTCGAAGAGGGGAAGCTAGGCCTTGGGACCCAGTGCTTTGTCAATGGGGTACCTCCAGATTGAATGCCATGGTATATCACGGTTTATCAATTTCAATTTTCAACCTTAACATATATATATTATGAAGTCTTTGGATCTGGACGTTGCTGGTGAATCTGGTGCAGCTGGGCAAAAGAAGGCCTCATTTCAGCAAAGCGGGTTAGAATGATGGTCGGAGGTAGACTTTCAGAGGCCGTTTGTAGAGGAGACCTTCGCAAAGGAAGCACATTCAGCTGTCCGTTGCAGCGACCAGTTTTATGGTGAAGCGACTGTCGACATCTAAAAATTCAGAGGAGAATGTGTTGTCCACTGCATTACTACTGAACTTGCCAAACTATGCCAAACTTCTTGTAGTTCTCCCACGGGTGAAAGACAATTCCATGCAGGATTTTGTAGGGAGCCTGCCCATGGAGGTGCTCGGTTTGCGCGCAGACAAAACCCAAATTGAAAGTGTTCGGCGCGAATCTCCTTTCAGACTGATTTGCTGAATTCTTTCGACATTGTCTTCCTTGTAACATCTTGAGTATTTGGCAGTTTCAAGATGTTTCAAGTACGTATAATATAAGTGTGTGTGAGTGTGAAGCTGCTGCTTCTTAACTCTGCTGGACGCCATTTGATGGTGGTGGAACTGAAACTGCATGGTGTTGGAAGTCCCAACTCGGTGTGCCACCCAAACGCCGGCAACCGTCAGAGCTTGCTGCTTTGGAAAACAATCATTTCCGCCAGCAGAATTTTTGCAATGAGCGAAATGACTCGCAATGCGCATGGCTTGCAATGTTTGACGTGGCCCTAAATTTGCCCCAGGTGGCAAGTTACAAACTACCGAGTGTGACTTGTCATGCTTGCACAGCTGCCCTTTGGGCGGCCGGGCTCGGCTTCATTTCTTTCCGTGACAGACGCAGAAGGTGTTTGTATGATTTTGTTTTTGTCACTGAGCACGGAGAAGTTGGAAACAAAACGAAAATAGGTGAGCATAGTGCGTCCTGCTAGGTTCCACCTCCTGCACATTGGTACACAATCAGTGGCTTGGTTCGAAGTTCGAAGTTGGTGCTTTAGAACCAAATCGGAGAAACCCAACAGCCAAGCCACAGGCGCAGCGGGTGTCAGTTGCAAGCCCCTCAAATTGAGAGCAACATTGTGCTGCGATGTGCCAAGTTCATCCATGTTCGGGTTTCCAAAGTGTGCAAAGTAACACTGAATTGGATATGCAATCTTGAGGGAAAAGGCACCGAGGGCGTTGACAAGAGTCATGATTAGTCAATTCAGCCCAGTGAAACAGCGGAATCGTGAAATCTGCTGGGGACACGGCGAGCCAGCTGGACGTCTCGAAACACATACTCGTAGGCGACATACGGGATGTTCATGAGTTGGAGAAATACCAAGGATTGGCAGTTCCATGTTTCTGCTGGGCTCAGGCCAACGATTTCAATGACAAGGCTATTTTTGAATATTTTTGAAACCCTACAGTACTACAAGCAGTTCAAACAGGTTCAACAATCAACACACAAATTTGATCCACAGATCTCGTGATTTTAGCGCAACATCTTGACATATTGCTACACATTGCATTGCCACATCCTTTGGTGCATGATGCATCGCTTGCGGATGCGCTTGCCGCCATGCGCTGTGTGCGCTGCGGAAGCGCCCAGGCGGCGCGGCGTGGCTTCGATGGCTTCGATGGTGGTGGATGGACAGCGGAGTTTGGAGCAGGTGGAATCAGAGCTGCGGCAGAAGCTATTGATCTCCCAGGACGACCCACTGGGATCCACTGGCCCACTGGAGGGGTGTTTTTGGCATGGTTCAGCAACCCCATGAAGGGAAATGGCTACAGTGTACAGTAATTGCCAATTGAACGGATTGCGAGCGATGGGTCAATGTTAAGTGTTCAATTATCTTGACTTACGTTGAATGTCAACTGTCAACTACTGAGTTATTGAATGGACAACCCTTTGACATCTTCCAGGGCTAAATTTAAATGGTACCACCCCCACGACATATATCGATATATGGGTTTGTCTGAAAATAGGGCTTTCTTGCTTTGCTTGAACAGCTCCGTCCCACGATACGCCTTGGGAAGTGAACGTCTAATCTTGTACAAATTGTGTACAGTAGTGAGTTGTGAACGAGAAAGAACATGAGGGAAATGAACAACTGTGATTCCTTCGAGGGAGGTGTACAACCGACAGGGATGTTACTGTACTGCATACTGCATGCCCGTTCATGTTCATTAATATCCATCAATTATTACATATATTTATATATATATAATATAATTAAACCATATTAAACCCGATTTTTAGGGGTTAAATTCACCATACCACCAATTCTATTTCTTTCACATTTCCAGGACCTGGATCTGTGGGCCGCAGGCCGTCAGGGCATCGCTATCGCTTTACGGGCGGCCGCGTCGCCGGCGCAGGCCTTTGTGATGCGGGGGGCCACGGCAGAAGAAGTGGAGATGGAAGGATTGATGTCCAGAGGAGAAGGTGGCAGTGGCACCAGGCAGGTGTGTTTTTTTTAATTTTTTTTGTGTGTTTTCTAATATTTTGTGCGATGGATTTTTTGTTTGATTCCTTTTATATCCTTTTATTCATCTACTCAACATTCCCTGACTTTTACTCAAAGATGATCTTTGTGTGATATTGTGGCATAGTGGCAGAAGAGGAATGTTTGTCTCATAGTGGCAGGATAGAGAAGAACGAGACCAGAAGGTTTGCTTTTCACCTGAAATTCCAGAAACTGGGTACAAAACAAAGCAAATTGTTTCGCGTTTTTAGGTTTTCATTACAACAGCTGGGTCACTTTGAAAACTGTTTGACAACGTCTTTCCCGGAAAACTTAAATGTTGCGATCAAATCCCAGGAAAGACATGCCACTTTCAATGCGTGAGCCAAAGAAAATCTTCCAAGTTGGGCAGAGAAGCAACGCGAAGCTGGTCCGTGTTATTCTGACACATGTTCATTTTCTATATTTTCCACCTTTTTTTGGGCTGAGCAACCAGTTGACTTTGATATAAAAATATATAAAACAACGGGAATTTGAACCTCCAAGGAAGTTCCTCCCCTTGGCGAAAGCCATTGCCACCGAGCTGCGTTGGCTCCCCAGTGGCGACTCTTTGGCGGCTGAAAATCTGCTACTGGGCAAGGCCAAAAATACCTGGACCCGGACCTTTGCTTTGGCCAATGCCGTGGCGCAAGCCTATGAATGGCAACTGAACCCGACGCAACAGTGCGTGAGACCTTTCTACTGCGTGGCGCAGCTCAGAAAGGTTGAGGATTTGCAGCCTCCTGAGGCTGGGAGGCCCAATTGGTCCAAACCCTGTTGTTGCAGCCGGTACTTTGGTTGTGCAGGTCAACTGGCACATGTAATCCACTCCTGAGATCAACATAACATCTACATACATCTACATAATAACATCTACATCTACCTGTTTGGAGTAGGAGCATCATTCTGTTGAGTTCTGTGAGATTACGCAAAGTTTCGGCGGGTTTTTCCACCTGGGTGTGTTCCCAGGGCGGATGGACGACTGTGCCGCTGGCACTGCGATTGGTTTTACTGCCGGAAGGTGAGCCACCACCCAGGCCTGATGGAAGCCCCGGAGAAAAAACGTGCAGCGATTGGTGATGGAGGTGGATTTGGTGGATTTGGTGGTGTCAGACGTCAGACAACATAGGGATTTGATGGGATTTGACTGGTCATGCACATGTACTATACTTGACATTGTGCTAGAAGAATCGGTGACCCAACTCTTGCAAGACTCTTGCGCAAAGAAACACGAGGTGTGCCATCAGCATGATGAACCAACTCCGTGTTTCTGGGATTTTGGATTCACATGGATTCACTATACATTTTTTGAATGTCACCAGCTGTGGAAGTCATGGAACGCCGATGGCTTGGTGGCAGCTGCAGAATTCCGAAGTTTCGGCTGTCAAGTTGTCATTTTCCCGCGGCTTGAGCCATGGCAAGTCCAGGGGCGTTGAGCCAGGGAAGCCCAGATGGCACAGGGCGCAAAGGTTGAAGTTTGGAAAGCGGAGATTTGTTGGGGGATCAGTGGGATATACTTGGATCATGTTGGATAATGTTGGATCACACTCTTTCAATGCTGAAATTGAATCCAGGCTTCTTGAGTTCATCCTTCCATAGCCCCTGGAGTCACATTGTGGAATGAACCATGTTAATCGTTACTACGGGTGTATCTGAAACTGGGGTAAACCATCATTTTACGGCCATGTTGCATGGGGAATATCATGATTAGGGGCTTGACACCCATTTTTTGGACAAGCAAACATACAACTTTGTTGATTCAACAAATGTGAAATGGTGACCAAAAAAGACCAATAATTACATACCAATTGCCAATTTTGTGAGTGGTTAAATCCACATTTATTGTTGGTCCACGATCATTGAGAAGCACAGAAGAAACCCTTCTTCATTCGCCACGCGCCTCGTTGCCAGGCCCGAAGCTTAAAGCCGCAGACCTGAGTGGCAAGGCCGTGTTCGACCGCAGAGTTTGATGGCAAGTTCTAGCTAAGGAGACAAACAACTCATTGGTTTGAGAGATTGTGAGGATATTCTACCAGATTTTCCCCATAGTTGATTCATTGATGGGACAAAAATATTGTTTTCTGTGGATATTCTTTCAAACCAACCCATTGAACAGTTAAGAGATAAAGGTGGAAAGGTGGAGGTCTTCACCGTGCGTACGCGATGCAGCTGTTCTTCGCACGCTTCGTGCGGTTGCTTAAAAGACGATCCAAATCTGTCCAAGAAGATTGCATTATAGAATTAAGATATTCATATATATATAGATATATATATATATATATGTATATATATTTTAAAATCATGTGAACCACGTTCAAAACTTTGTGTTAACATTTCTCAAAAAGGGGCTCCTTGTAACGGTGTGGCAGAAGCAAGACTCTGCGTGTAAGCCAGTGTAAGCTCCGCGTAATACAAGCTATGCGCGTGCCAGGATTTGAGACCATGGCAGACCATGGCTCTGAATGTCACGTCACCATCCAGAAATCAGAACTCATCACCTTAAACACCCCTAATATCACCTAATAAAGATTGAATGGTGGCTTGATTTTGTCCGGTTTTGAATTACCCTCTGGTAATTTGTTACATAGCTATTGAAAATGGCCATAGAAATAGTGAGTTTTCCCATAAAAAATGGTGATTTTCCATAGTTTTTTGTATGTTTACCAGAGGGTATTTTCCATCCAACCATTTTTTGTCGACGATCCCATATCATCCCCACGTCAGGTGGCCATCATCACCGGAGCTACTCGTGGCATTGGCAAGGCAGGGCTGAGATCCCAATGATGCCATGCAAAAATGGGGGAAAATTGATGATGCACTACCCTCTGGTAATTTAACATACCTATGGAAAATCACCATTTTTAATGGGAAAATCAACTATTAATGGCCATTTTCAATAGCTACGTTAAATTACCAGAGGGTAGATGAACTACTGGATGTGGGATGATTTGAGGAGTCTTCCCCTATTTTTATCTATTTTTGAGCAAAGTCACATCCTGTACATCCTGTACATCCTGTAATACTGACGGCAGTGGTACATTGAGCCTTGATCCATGCTTGTTCTCTCCCCAATGCTTAAGCTGCAGAGTGCGCGCTTTGCTGCTAAGCTTGCAAGCTTCATGAAGCTCCGGACAATCGAATGCTTTGTTGCCCACTTTCTAACATGGCAAAACTAGACAAGAAGACTTCAATGTCATGTCAATGTTGTGCGAGAATGTGCTTGGAAGGAACACAAGTTTGTGTCCTTACTTCTTGTCACTGCCCTGCGTTGACTTTTTTTGCACCAAGATGTGGCTCGTTACCCCTTTCTTTAAGGTCAGTACTGTATGCTGCTGTAGAGTTACTGCTGCCGCGAAACTGATCTTCAAAACTGCCGCAAATCCGAAGCGCCCAAGAAAAAGCAATGCTGTTTCCCCAAAGGGCGAAGATTAATGAGAGTTTGATCAAACAAACACCTATGAAGTTCTGTGGGAGCAGTCCAACTTTCATCGTCGATGGCCTTCGTGTCCAGATCCATCTAGCTGTGATCACATGCATCATCCGTCATAATCCTCACAATCCTCATCCTCGTCATTTCTTCAGCTCATCATCACCGCCTTTCTGCAGTGTCCACTCATACTATCTCATACTATCTCATACTATTTCATACTCATTTTCATCATTTTCTTGGCTATGTGATGCCATGTGTGATGCTATGTGATGCTCCGTGACGTCGTGTACACAACTGGGTTCGTGCATGAGCTGGTGAGTAGTGGCTACAAGACACCCCTGTTGGTTGAGGATTAAGGGATTACTGTATACTGTACCAATATGTACCAATCGATTGGATTGATATTCATCCCCAATTGATTCATGTTAATTATACCTAATTATAGAATCAATTGATATATCAATTGTTGATTATAAAATTATACGACCTGTGCCCAATATTAATTAATTAGGAATTATCTCAGCACAGGCCTGCGCCATTGCCCTGGCGAAGCAGGCAGCGAGCTGAAGATTCCACATTGGTGGCCTCAATGGCTGCAAATTTGGGTGACATGTGGATGAGAATTGATGAAATCCATTGAAATCCTAGGCTGTGTAGCTGGAATCCTGACTTTGGTGGTGAAGATTGGATGATTTCGGTTCGGTTAACGGTTCGGTTCACGGTTCCACTTTATATATCCACGAGCCTTGGCGATTTGGTGAAATCAGTGGAGCCAGGGCTGCAACATTGTGGTGGCAGCGAAGACCACCACAGAGCAAGCCACGCTGCCAGGCATGGAAAAATGGGAGATTTCAGAATTTTCCACATGGGGATAAAAAAGGTGATTTAAGGATTTCCGAAGTTGTTCAATCTTCAAGTTTCTGTTATATTAAGTTGTTCTTTTGGTCTTCCAAAAATAGGTTGGATGCCCTAAGGTTGTCATTTCAAGAGGGAAATAATTGCACAATTAAATATTCACCATGCGGTAGCCTATTTCAGACAAACCCATCTGCTGCTACATAGTTGTGGGATGGTTTGTTCACAACTTGGGCTCGAGAGTTGCCACATGTCAGACTTTTCTGGCCTTGCACCCAGCTGCGCCATATGGATGTGGACCTTGAGCATCCCAACCGATGGTAGCTTCACCTGCTAGGAGGGCAACACTCTGACTGGCATTATGACTTATACCGCGGCCGACTTCGATTGCACTGTGGTGCCTGATCCTGGCAAGACTTGTGATGTGACATGATGTGACCACTATCATCTCTATTAATTAAGTGCTCCGATGCAGAGGGAGGGCCGCAGAACTTTGTTCCCATGGAGGGCAATTGATGGCAATTGCATCAACGATGCTACTCATGCTGAAAGCGTCAACGCTACTCGTCCCAAATCTCTGTTTGCACACCACGATGGCCGCCAGAGAACGTGTTGCTCGTGTCAATGGGTAACACGTGCTCTTGCGGCCATTGCGGCAGACATCGGCAGACATCGGCAGACTATGACTGCACTGTGGTGCCTGATGTCACTGACACAGTGGCATGAGCGATGCATTCTCATCATTCCCTGGCGGACATTGCGGCAGACATCCGCAGACTACGATTGCACTGTGGTGTCTGATCCTGGCAAGACTTGTGATGTGACATGATGTGACCACTATCATCTCTATTAATTAAGTGCTCCGATGCAGAGGGAGGGCCGCAGAACTTTGTTCCCATGGAGGGCAATTGATGGCAATTGCATCAACGATGCTACTCATGCTGAAAGCGTCAACGCTACTCGTCCCAAGTCTCTGTTTGCACACCACGATGGCCGCCAGAGAACGTGTTGCTCGTGTCAATGGGTAACACGTGCTCTTGCGGCCATTGCGGCAGACATCGGCAGACATCGGCAGACATCGGCAGACTATGACTGCACTGTGGTGCCTGATGTCACTGACACAGTGGCATGAGCGATGCATTCTCATCATTCCCTGGCGGACATTGCGGCAGACATCCGCAGACTACGATTGCACTGTGGTGTCTGATCCTGGCAAGACTTGTGATGTGACATGATGTGACCACTATCATCTCTATTAATTAAGTGCTCCGATGCAGAGGGAGGGCCGCAGAACTTTGTTCCCATGGAGGGCAATTGATGGCAATTGCATCAACGATGCTACTCACACTAAAATCAGTGAGAAAGCATCGACCAGCGGAGCTGAGGTTGGCCCACCGGGTTGGCAGAATGATGACATTCTCATACATTCTCCGTGGCTATGGTTTTTGGCTGGATTGACTTGGTCAGAATTCTGAGCATCCTGCTGATCTTCGGTGCATCAGTCCTCAGGCTTTTGGCCCGTGATGCACTGCTTTTTCTTTCTCTTTAGCTTGCAGCGCACGCAACGGTGCTGGTGTCTCCGACCTGCCATTTGGATATAGGACGGGTAGTTTCTGTGCGACGCACTAATAACTTTGTTGGACGTGGGTGAAAAGCAGGGTTGCACGGTTGCGAAGGAGGGCCTGAGACATCGGTTTTAAGATCCTGTCCATGTTTGTCTTCTCAGCACAGACTTCAAACCACTCAGTTCCCTTGTCGTCACAGCATTTTACTTTCGCAAAGTTGGAACATGAATGAACATGATGTTCTTTGTATTGTATGGTACGGTACTAGTCATAGTCTATAGAAATTAATTATATATATATATATTATATATTATGAAATGGTATGCAAGCGAGATGGCGAGTCAAGTGAGGATCCTTTTTCAACTGGCCTTTTCATTGGCTGATGATCGACATCCCTTCCTTTCATGACGTTCTCCAGGCACTATCTACAGCGTTGCTGAGGCTCAGCTTTGAGAATGATTCTTGAAGGGAGGTAAACTGCTAGCCACGCAGTTTCGAATCCGGGATTCCCATGGTAGATTCTCATTGCAATGTATTGCAATCAGAATCAAGATTTAAGTAAACCCAATCATCAACCTCTTGTTTGGTATGACTTTCAACCCCCAGTCGAATACCAAATTTCATACGGTGTATAGCTTGAGGGCAAAAATATGGCACATTTATGGCAACCGGGGTATGTTTTCAATTTTACCCCATGTTTATGGCATTGGGTCTACCTGGCAGGAGCTGCAACAGTTGGGCGTTCAAGCCTTACCTGTGAAGGCCGCTGAGCAGCTGGCTTTTCTGGGGCGGATGCTGATGTTTTTTGGGTTTTGCCAGGTAGATCTGCGAAAGTTTGACGACATCAAAGAGTGCGTGAGACAGACTGCCCTTCACTCAGCAGCTCTGGCCCACTCTTCCTTTTTGGTGAAGTTCTGAAGTTCGCTGGCACATTTTCTTATGGGAAAATGATGACAAAAACCAGCCCCATTCTATGATTACAATTATAATCATTTCATTGATGCGCATTGTAGTTGTGCAATGTTGTGCATGTATATTGCACACTTGAAGACTTTCTCCTTTTCTCTCTCCTCTTTGCTCTACAAGGTTGAAAAGTTTGGACGCATCGACATCCTGATCAACAACGCCTCTGCTCTGTGGTGGCAGAGGAAGCAGCAATCTGTGACTGCTCTGTGTTGTTTTTCCGGCCCAAATTAGGGGCCTATCCTCAGGATAGAAGACACACCGATGAACAAGTATGACTTAATCACTTCCATCAACACGTCCAGTGCTCAGAATTCAGGTGGCATTGCCTGTGGTTGTCCTTATGGGAATAATCACCAATGATCACCAATGATGTTTCTCAATGACATCTCACAACAAAGGCATTTATTTTTTGAGAAACCGTGTGCAGCATCCTTGCCCCAAGTCCCCTGGATTATCATGGCAACAGAATGCAACATACCTTGACCATTCTTCACCTATCTATATTATTTTATATTCATGTATCACATTTATTCATGATTTGAGCATGTGAACATGCTGTTTTCCCCTAATATATTGCTGCCATGATTCCCCCATCTAAAGGGCGAAGCTGGCGCGGCGTCCGGGTTTCCGCGTCGAGGCGTGGCAGTTTTGCCATGACCCATTTGTGTCTGCCGATCATGGCGAAGAACAAGTGCGCAGGGCTGGGCTGAGATCTTTGCCGCTTAAGTATACTTACTATAATCATCTATAATCTTATGTGATCTTATATTATCATCTTATATATCTTATATAATCTTAAGTTATAGATGATATAATCTTAATATATTCTTTAATATAAGTACCTTCTAAGAACTCGAAGTTGCCTGGAAAGTCACCTGTTGATGTCATTTGTCGTAAGAAAAAATGGAGCCTTCTCCGATGTTGGGCCACCAGCAAGGTACGGCCGGGTCATCAACATGAGCCCGCCACTGCAAACCGATTTCCGAGCGTCCAGGGCTTGGCAGATGGTTTTCTGATTGGTTGGGGCATTTGCACAACCAATGGGCATAACATTGCTCTATTTTGCCAAAAAAGGAACATCATTGGATATCATTGGTTTCGCGCAGAATCAACGACCGATCAGGTACAAAGGTTTTACAGCCTACAATATCTCCAAGTTTGGCATGACCATGGTGTAGTCCTCAGTTGAGATTGTGGAATCTGGAGGCATCTGAGTGCGTGGCTCTGCCCGTGTTCCAGCGCTAGAAATTGACCGTGTTATAAATCACAGATGATGGCTCGAGAGGTCCGCGACGTAACGCAGCCCTGGGTGTGTCCCATCTGCTTTGAAGCCGTGGATGGAGACAATGGAGACGTGGTTTCAATCGCCTGTGCAGATGAACATCGTTTTTGCCGCCTGTGCCTGCTCCAGCATGTTGATTCTCAACCTTTCCCGCGCTGTCCCGCTGTGAGATGTGCCTATGAACTCTCGGAGCAAGATCTCATTGTTATTTGCGGCGCCGGCTCCCAGCGTGTGGAAAGATTCCGAGAAGACCTTCTAACTAAGGCAACTGAGCAGTGTTCAAATAAAGCAGTTGGTTGATGATGAGTTCGGGGGTTATCTGACTGGTGAATCATCATTATCTGAATTATACATAAAATGGCGATCGGATGCGATCGGTATCCAAGCCATATAGAGAGGTTTCAAAACCCCTGTTGGTTGATGACCATGATTATAGACTATAGATGATCATAGGTGGCTATACTACCCAATAATACCCAATATTTATTGGGAGTTATTATGATCCCTGGGAATCCAGGTTGCCCAAGGTTCCAAAAGGTGTCCTTGTTTTAGATCGGGCGACACCAAGGCAGTTGATCAGCTCAGTGAAGTGGTCCGTTGTCCCAACCCTGACTGCAGCTGTGCATTGACTGTAGATGGTGGACGCCAACGGTGGCAGTGCTGTGAGTGGCCCGCTTGGTGTACAAAGTGCCGGCAGCCTTACCACTACAAGGTGGAATGTGAAGCTGTAGAGGCAGAGAAGCTGGTGATATTGAGTGGTATTCAGTGAGTACACAACTAACTCTAGCTAGGAACACTTTTGGAATGCTTCTGATATGGTCTGACGATCTGACGTTTTGCTGGGTTCGGAGTGCTTTTGTTGTTTTGGAAAGGGTCCCGTGTTGTTAATTGAAACATTCCCTGTTTTCACAGGGGCTTTGCAAGCGATGGCTGCAATGGGTAAGCACAGACCGGAGCACTTACCACCAGGAAGAAGTCCAGCACTCTCGCTTTGAGACACAGCGTCGCTCGCTTTAAGTCTTTTGACAGTTGCGTGAGACATTATTTTTCTCGGGAAGTGGTGGCATAGTTCCATTACATTTGTTCATTTAACATCATCATCATCATCATCATCATCATCATGATCATCATCATCATCATCATCATCATCATCATCATCCTTTTTTCCTTTCGAGCTGCTGCAAGTCGGTTCTTGCTTGGAACTTGCACAAGCATGACGCAACTTTACAAGCCCTCGTAGTAGTCAGGTTGGACTACCGACAAGGGCACAAAATCCATGCGTGCATGCTGGGCGACGCTCTCGGGAACAGCCTCTTGCTGCTCCCCTGGCACAAAAGTCGCGCATGCAAACTGAATTATGGCCTCCGCAATGGCAGCATTCATCATTGGTGGATACACCTTCGCTAAAGAGGTGCGAAAGGATCCATCATCACCGCGACCTTTCAACGAGGGATGGGCACGTGGCGCATGAGGACACCTGCCGCCACGTCCAAGTTTCAAAATCGCCTCTCGCAAGTGTGGGAGACGCACAAGGAGGAGCGAAGTTGGTTTCTTACCCTCACATTGAAAGATGCATTGGTCGAATGTTGCAATAGATACACAATTGAGCCGCCGCAACCAACGAACTGCTGTGAGCGCCCATGTGCTCGCGGGAGAGTGCTGCATGGCCCAAATTGGGAAAGCCGGATGCTCCAAAAACCCACAGGCTCCAGACAGGGAGCAGTAATACATCATCTCCAACAAAAAGCGCATCAACGCTGTTCCCAGAGAAACTTGATCCCACTGTCTGTCGGAATTCGACGGCAATCCACAATAATCCGAAGAGGACCTCAGGGGAGGGGGTCCCCCCTCCAGGAATCTGGCCGCAGAGAAAGTCTCACAAGGGGGACCCCCTCCCATTCCCAGGATGGCACCATTGCATACCTGATTTTTCCAAAAGGCAAGATTCTTGGGTGAAGACAAATCCCCTTGACTGCCCTGAAGGCAGTAGTCTATTGAGATGCAGAAGATGTGGTGTATTCCTTGAACCCAATGCCGCTCAATCTGCGATTGCAAATCACCTTCTCGGCGAAAACCTGAGAAAAAATGAATAAAGCACATTGTGCGAATATGCAACCGCGCATACAGAGTGGCCAGGCCTTTGTTGGAAAAGCACCCTGCATGACCATGCTCGGCACCGCAGTCAGAATGCATCACAAAAACCATCTCTGTTGGGCCATCATTGGGACCATCAGCGTCAGCCGGCTCGGAATCATCAGATCCTGCATGAAGGCAAATGCCGTCCAGGCTCTCAAAGGCATACTCAGAACCTGGGTCAATGCGAACGGCCCATTTGTCAAACATAAGTTTGGCCGCTGCGGAGCCCGGAGGCGGCAGCGGGGGGCCGTAACCATGTAGGGCAGGCAACTGAGCCTTGGTAGCTAACCAGCCTTGATCGCGCATCGTCTTGGCATGGATCCTGTCATCTTCACCCAGCGCCCGAAGGTTGTCTGGGGTTAATGGTGGAAAGGCTGCACGGGTTCGCTCAAGGCAATCAACAGAGGTGCGGAGGTGACAACACAAACGAACTCTGTGGTGGAAGATTCGGCAACAGTTGGCACAAGTGCTACCAAACGCAAAGTGCTTGACCAAGGTCACATATCCATGCCTCTTGACGGCATGCTGTGCCAGGGCCCTGCGGGAGCCAAACTGCTCTAAGCACAATTGACACTGCCACATGGCTGGCTGTGCGGTAGGTTGGGAAAGGGTTGCAGTAACCCCTAGGCGAGTCAAAGAATTTTGGAGCCAGATATCCCAAATTGCGTGCTTCGCATTTTCCGCACGGTACCTGCGACATGAGGCCATAGCACGTCGAAGGCGCCCCTTCCATCTGTGATCAATGGCAACAAAACTGCACCATTCATGCAAGTGTGTTTCTCCAGTAAAACCAAAGTGTACCCCGCTGAAACGGCACAACCACTGGAAGGAATCTTGCAAATGAGCAAACCACGACCCGTCATGGGAGGCCGTGGCATTGAACAACTGCCACAAGATGGCCGGACAATGCTGCAAAAATCTCTTGAAGTAACGCAGCCTCGCCAAATGCAACATGTCACTAGGAGCAAGCAAATTGCAGAGTCCACACAAGATCTGAACGTCTAACGTGAAAGGAGGCTGACCACGTAGTAGGGGGCGTGCAAGTGCATACAACATTGGCCGAAGTCCGGCTTCCCACTCACTCAGCTGCGAATGTGACACCAAGCTCCAAGTATGGGCATTGAACATGTAACGTGAAAGTACCAACGATTCAAACACTTGGGTCTTTGTCTTTTGGAGCACGCCCTTCTTGGACAGGAAAGGACGAACCAGCGGCCCCCACGCTTGTCGGGCAGCGTGTAGGCGCGCACGAACTGCCCGAAGTGGCTTTGCGTCATTTTGAACCCACGTGCCTAGGTGCTTATATGCTAATACAACCGGCAAAGGGAGAGGTTGCTCACGTTCAGGGAGGATGACCGGAACATGACCTTGGTCCTGGGCAACTTGCATCTGCAACTTCTTCTTCCCTTCTCCACGCAACGCCCAAAGGAGTTCTGTCTTCCCTTCTCCAACTGTAAGCTCTAATCCACGGCAATGTGCCGCCTGAAAAACGGCACATGTGGCAAGGTGGGCCATGTCAAGCAGCTGCAGATTGGTGGGGGCGCGCAGTAGCATGGCTAGGTCATCCACGTAAGCGACTTCTGCCCAAGCAATCGATGCTGGCGATGTTGTTTGGGTAAAGTCTTGCACAACAGCAGGTGCTCCCTCCCAAACGGCGTTGCTGGGTCGAATGGACTCAGAGACATCTTTGAGGAGCGCTGCCATGACAAGATTGAAGGCAATATCCCCAATGGGATCCCCTGGTCTGGTGCCTCTGGTTGTGACTGCGACTTCAGAAAGACCTTCCATTTCGAAACATGTGGCTTGCAACATGTCGTGCAACAACCGCATGGCATGAGGCGGAATGTTGGAAATGGCTGCTTCAGAGTGCGCATGCTGCAGTAGAGTCTCAATTTGCTGTGGATGAATACCAAGTCGATGCATTGCAATCATGAAAGACGTGGCATCGATGTCGTCCTGAAAGAGGCCTTGCCGCAGGACGCTGTAAAATGCAGATTTAAAGTCTACAAACAAAATGGCACTCGGCTGCTTGCTGGTCTGACCGTAAGCGATATGAGCCTGTATGATGTGGTGGGCAGAATCACACCCTAGGCCCTTACGGCCGCCAATCTGGAGGTGGGTCATGACGGAAGACCAAGCCTGCACGAGGTGCTTGCGGAGCACGGAGTGGTAGATTTTTGTGGTAAAATTGTTCAGAAAGATCGACCTGTATCCAGTGGGGTCGCTTTTGGCCAACTTCCCTTTATGAAGGGGGATAAGCTTTCCGGTGCGCCATGCCGCCGGCTCACGACCATGAGCTGCGATCTTGGTAGTTAAAACAACAAGATGCTGCGCTATTTCATGAGAGCCAGCCTTCAAAGCATCCGGTGGTAATCCATTGGGCCCAGGCGCTTTACCACGTTTCAGACGGTGGATCTGCTGCACAATTTCAGGGAGAGCAGGAAACGCGTCGATGGAGATATCCTCATGAGGAATACCAAGACATGCAGGAAGATGACGACGAAACTCACTGCGTGCCATGATATTGCCAGCTTCGATATCGGAAAATTGCTTCATCCAAAGTTTCTGCTGCTCAGTGAATGACCGTACAGGAACTCCTTGCACCTTGAGGATCGGAAGGGCTTTTGCATCAGCTTTTGCAGATTTACGGCCACCAAGTCTGGTAAGCAACTTGTACATGTGCCGGGAGTCATGGAGCTCACCGGCGGTGGCAAGCTCCTGGACTAACTGGCCATAGAAATCACGTTGATCATGTCGGACTTTTGTACGGACTTCTTTCTCCAAGTGCCGAAGCTGCATGCGAAAGGAATCATCATGCATCAAGGAGTTGGTGCGACCATAGTCGAGACATGAGCGTTTGAACTGAATAAAATTCCTGGTGGACTCAGAAAGGCGCGGGCGCATGCGATCATGCTGATGCTTTTGAAAATGTTGCTGAGCCAAGGCCAAGAAATTTTGCTCCATTATATCGGCATGCGAATCAACGTGTGTACTCCAGTCTGGTATGGGGAGCGATTTGACGGCTTCCCGAAACTGATGACACTTGACTGGGTCTACGAAGGCAAGGTGGTCCCATTGAATCTTGCGGTTGCATGGTCGGTCCCTCAACCATCCATGGCATTGCATGACCACTGGATAATGGTCATCATGTCCAAATCCACCATCAAAATGGACATCGACCCAGGTCCGGGAGCACCATTCGATCGCCGCTCTGGAGCAGGCGACATAATCGCGCCGCAACTGGGACCCTCTGGGATGAGTCCAGGTGTAATAGGGCCATGATGCGCCCAAGACATCGTGGTCGGAACATACCATTCCATGTTTTGCAGTGCCTCTTCAAATAGACGACCTTGTGCATTCGAGACTTCAGCCCCATGCATCTGAAAGAACTGAGTTGGCTCAGACGGAAGCGGGGCGTTTGCATCAATCATACACCATGTCAAAGATGCTAATCGTGCCTGCTGTAGCAGAGTTCGAGTATCTTGCCACCAGGCTGCCAGCTGTTCCAAGGAAAAGGAACTGGACTTGCAGGGAACGTGTAAGACTACGAATGATACATTCAGCTGGGGGTGTGACAGGTTCACGACCAATCGTCGAGGGTCAGCAACTACTACTGCCGCCTTGAAGTGAGAAAAGGTCAGGCACCCATCTTCATCAATAGCAAAGTGCTTGTGGAGCCATAACTCACAGCCATAGTGATGAGCCTTGCCACAAATTTGTGCTCCTGAAGCAAAGCCAACATAGTGATCTGTTTGGATTTTGCCCTCGTTTCGTCGAGATTCTTGTAGGCCAATGGCTGCAATACCTTGCGCATGCCATTGCAGGTCCAAACGAACAGCACGATCAGCAGGGGCTGATTCTGGGAGG